CGCTAACCTGAACGACGCTTCATGCATATTAACGGGGTCATTTTCAATTTGAACTTCTAGTAACCCTATGAGCATTCAAAAAGCGTGTTTTGGGTAGCCTTAGGGGAACTTCATTAACTACGTAGACATTTTTTTGGGATTCTTGACCCCACTCCCCCTGCGTAAATAATTGTCCATACAATTTTTTTTAATTTGTATGGGCCGTGGATAATTGTCAACCCCCCCCCCCCCCTTATTTGCTGTTTTGTATTGATTCTGCGTACCATTTTACAATGACTTTACTACATTCCTCGCGCTAAATGACGTACCATCAATTTTTAGTGTTTACGGGGTGAAGATTAGCAGGATTCGAATTACCAGATCCAATAGCAGGGATATGTAAAAATTTTCCATCTGTCAAATTTAAGTGAAAATTCACCAAATCGAACACAGCCCAAAACGATTAAACGTAAAAGCGCACTTTTCAAGGTGGCCACCCTTTGGCCTTTTTTAAATTCCCGGTTTTAAGTACAACAATTATAAATTAGTTCGATGTCTCAGATATTTGACTTATATAAAATTAGCAATGTAAAATCGTTCGGTATTTTGAATATTTCTGTCAGTTTTAAATCTTAAACATCCTATGTTCCAGAATCTTAAAAAAATCTCATTCTGTGATCTTTTTTATTATCTAGGTCGTTTATTTGGGAAGCTCCATCGCGTTAGCTTTACGCAGTCGATAAATGTTCATAGTTTGTAGCAAAATTCACTTAATCCTATGTCTAGTCTCCTAAATAAAGAATAAAAAAGAGAAACTTTTGGAATGCGACATCAATGCGATTTGCTTTTGTTTTTCTGTATATCAAGACGATGTAGTTTTGAAGAAGACAACGATATTAACATCTGCACGCTGGATTAACATATAGCCATGATAGAGTGATACAACATTTTATTTTCATTAAAACAGAACACCATCATAATAGATTATCAGGAAAGCCTATTAGCATAGAGGTAACTCTAAGACCAGAAGGTTCCGAAGAAACGTGCTCAACTTTTTGGCTCAGCTCTGGTACTCTCTTCGGTCCCAAGCTAATCGATGCACCTGCCGAAACATAGGAAAATCCCTCATTTTATCCGTCATACTTTCATAGCGAATCAAAACAAACATTGTGTAGTACTAGAATTTTGACAAGAATGGGGTACGTTAATCGATTTGCTTTAGACCAATAGGCTAGTCAAGAAGTGAGCCAATTTCATATCGTTAGGTTCCACCGGTTGCTATTAGGCTGTGAACGATTTGCCGAAATTTATTTTATTTTTATTTCGAAAGTTATTTTCTATGTTCGAAAATCCCCGTGCTGTCGATCGACCGATTTCCGACACACGGTTGTCAAAATTTAACTTCTTGTCGGTAAGAAATAACCATGCTCGGGTAGCATGATTCATCGATAACTTTCCATCTGTCAAATTTTAACCAAAAGTTAAAAAAAAATCGCCAAATGGTTCAGAGCCTTAGTGTAGGATCCCAGAGAAGACAAAAAGTTGAAAGAACATGGAAAACCAGCCAAGACAGGATGCAGAAAGAAGCGGTCGATCGGCGGATTATTGGCAAGAGGTGACTAGTAACAGAAGCAAGTTTAAAACAGCCACAAGATTGTTCACTGAAATGGTGGAATCAGAATATGAAGACTCGGAAAATACTCTCAGCGATTCAAGTAGCGGTGATCAACTGAACATCTTGGACTATAGAGGTTTCTCTGACGACAAGGATGATGCTTTCCTAGGATTCGTATAATCAGCATCATATTCAGGCATAACATTTGATAACGGCACAAAAGCATTTGTAAACAAACTTTCTAAGACCCTTTACACGTGAACCAAAGAACGCCCACGCAAACCAATACCACTTTCGGAAAGGTGATAGTTGCCCCTATCTGATGATGTTGTTAGTTTGCGTGGGCGTACTTTGGTTCGCTTGTGAAGGGCCTTAGAAAGTTTGTTTACAAATGCTTTTGTGCCGTTATCAAATGTTATGTCTGATATTAATATACCAATCACGCTATTACCAAACTCTGTAATGGTAAAATCAACTAACAACTTGCCTTACTTTTCAACAATCTCGATCATTATTACTGTTATCATTACTGTTCATACTATCATTGCAACTAATTCATTTAGGCACATTCATTTGACCTGTGGGAATCATTAATAATGTATTGGAACTTTCAATCATTTTTTTTTTTGCTTGATTGACGCGTATTTAATGAGTTGGAAATGTTTGTAGTATCACTAGTACTAGTACTCGGAAATTAAGTATTACAAAGGACAAAATGGAACGAATTCATCAAATCTGGCCAAGTGAGCCCAACAAGCTGGCCTAATGTGTTAGAGGGGATGTCGCAATTAATCATGTTTTGTTGTTTTTGACATCATCCACATCCAGAGGGCCAGTCACTTGGAATGTATGGGAATGGTAGGAAACCATTTGGAAATGCATGAAAATTTTCAGTTTTTATTCATTATCGTCTTTATGGGCAGTTTTAGATGCACAAAAATTGCACGAGTACATTACTATGGTGATAAGGTAAACACTCGTTTATTTGTTTCCTTCTGTCAAAGCAAGTTTAGTCACAAACCGTGGATTTTCTGATATTCTCCATACTGCAAAAATGATTTTCCTACCACTGAAGGGGCGACATCTCTCGGATATAATTAATTGTAGATGGTTCGCTTCACACTGATAAATTAAACTATTCCCATTTTGCTTGAAATTTAATCAATTTGACATTGAATTCAATTTAATCATATCGAATGATTAAAAATGAATATTCTCTTTCTAAAAAATAAGCATCTGATATTATATGCAGTATTGGTTTGTTTACAATCTTTTGCTGCCAGCTGCTCTAACAATTTCAGTCGAAAGAATTGTCAACAACTGTTTTGAAACGCTTTTACAAAGCTCAAATCTTCTCTAGTGAGAGCGAGTATTGTCGGCAACCAGTTTTTCTTCGGCAACCGTTCCATTTGAACTGCATGTAAATCTGCTGTTCTATTATCGGCAACTCGAAATCAGCTACAATTTGTAGTGCGTGTGTTTCATTTCAAGAAAACCTTGCTAGATTGCTTTTTCTCAGTGGTAAAAATATAGTCAAATTGAAGCTGAAAGCATAAAGAATCGTTTGCATGCATTCAGCGAAGTGTTTTCGTAAGAAAATCCAGTGAAAATAGTGTTTCAATTTGGGTTGCCGAAAATAGTCTATCATGCCGAAGCCGTCATTTCCCCTATATCAGTATTGAAAAAGAATAAAATTTAATACTGAAAAGATTATTTCGAATTCAATCATGCATGACTACTGCCGAAGTAATCATGGCTAGGACTCAAGCTTCTTTGATTTAATTTATCTTTGAGTGCACGATGTAATCCGATTTGTAGCACACACTTAGTTTTTCCTACCGAGCTCGGTTGTGCAAATCTCGGCAAAAAAGTTTTACTGAGATTTCAACAAACATTTCATTTGTTTGCTGAGGTTCAACTAAGCAATATCCGAGACTCAGCAATCAAATGTCACTGTTGCTGAGATCTCAGTGAAACCTATTTTTGCCGAGATTCGCACAGCCGAGCTCGGTAGAAAAAACTAAGTGTGCAGAGCTTGCACGGAATGTCCCGAATGTAGTCTTGAAGCACCTTTTGGCCGTCCGACACAATCCGCACACTGTGGGACTCGATTCAGCAAATTCAAGTAACCGTTCGTCACCAATATCTCTTTACTGTTAAAAAGACCAGAAACTTATTATTTTGCATGCAATGGTATGGGAAAAGAGGAAGACTCACGATTCAGCATGGAGAGTGTATGGAACCCGTACTAGGGGTTGTTTTGGGCATGTGGTTCATCTGAGACGTTACGTTCTGGAATGTGGCCTTGAGACTTGAGATTTGGCCTCCATAAGACCCCTTTCTGTCTCGCAAAATCAAAATATTTTGATTTTGATTTTGCGAGACAGAAGGGGGTCTTATGAAGGCCAAATCTCAAGTCTCAAGGCCACATTCCAGAACGTGAGTGGAACATGATGATCACGTCAAACTATAATGTCTCAGATGAACGACATGCCCAAAAAAAAACCCCTAGTACGGTCTTATAAAAAAAATAATAAAGACGGAAATATTCCCTTCTTCGAATAATACATGCATAAAGGAATATTGTGTTGTTTAAACATATAATAAAGAAGGAAATAATCATTTCCTTGAATATTTAATAAATAAGGGAATGTTCCTTTCTATTGTCATTTAATAAGAAGGAATTTTTTCCGCCTTCAAATATAAAATTAGTGTACCATTCAGGGAAGCGACGTTCAGGGTAGTGACATTCGGTCTGGGGTCGCCAAATAAAATTTCAATAATTTTTACACCAAAACATAAAGTATTCCTAGAAACGTAGTTTCCGGGAAATGGTTGTCCGAGAAATGACATTGAAACCACTCAGACTGTTTGAATGACTTGCTATTTCAGTACTAGAATCATTTAAGAAAGGCATATATCAATAGGAAAGTTATGTTCATATTATCTTCGAAGCATTTCCAAAGCCAGACAAACAACAACATCTTTCGATACTTTTAGTTAACAATAAAGCATTTCAAATTGATTCAATTGATGTTGATTTGGAACGAACCACACAATAAATGTGAATCGAAGCGCGGTTCATCAAATAGTGATAAACATACTCTTGTTGCCACCGACTCGGGTTATCATGTGATATGGGGTGTAAATTATGTCTATAAACAAGCTCTATTGCAAATACTGTGTTTGAACCAGAATTGTGTATTTATGGTCGTCTGAAGGAAATTTAAGAGCGACAGCATTGCGCAACGCTGATGCCGATGACGCGCGAACGTATGATGCCTTGCTCAACTGCTATCCTGTTTACAGCATTTCTCACTATTGAATCCTAATTGCAATTCATTAGCAGAACGTCACATGATCGATTTACTGATATTCCCATTGGCGGTTTCCATATTCATTCCAGGATTGGAGCAACATGCGTGGTACAACCGCTGGATCTGGTCAAAACGCGCATGCAGATTTCCGGCATCGGAGGCGCGGTCAAGGAGTATAATAACACATTCGATGCCATTGGCAAGATCATCAAGCGAGAGGGCCCCCTGGCTCTGTACAAAGGCCTGAGTGCGGCCATCATGCGTCAGGCGACCTACACCACCACCAGGCTTGGCGTGTATACGTCACTCAATGACGCATACAAGCAGTAAGTATTTATGACCGGCGAGTCAACGCTGATGGCGGGGGCGTGTATTTTTAGGAAGGAAACGCAATAATCTGACACGGTCGTCGGTCGCAGTGCGAAAGTATATACCTACTGACGTAGGATGACGGTTTTACGTAGAACGGTGTGGTGTAACATCTGTCTCGTCTTGTGACGACACGCGTGTTTTGGGGGAGAATTAGCACGTGTGTCTTAAGTTTAGTATAACTAAACAAACAAAAAAAAAGTTCGACTCAAAATGTCTATCAATTTCTAAGTTTACTCTCTTACTATTCGAAATCTGGCCTTATGACCCATTCAGCCCAACAGAGTTCCTATATTGGTGTATTGATGGTTAAGCAATAAAATATACAGTAGCAGCCTTACAATTGTAGCTGAAATATTGGTTATAGGACAAATATTCCAACGAATGTCTGGGGGAAATAATGTCAGATGGACAAAATGTAGAATGAAAACTAATAGAACAAAAAGTCTGACGGACTGAGTAAATCAAGTTAATCAAACTTCAAATAGCAATAATTTGTTTTATGAAATGTATGGTTAGCATATCTAGGTCCACATACATCTTGAACGGAACGGTCCTTTCGACCTTTCATAGATGCGGAAAAAAGATCGACTGTATGTGTTGGACAAAAGGTCGAATAAGGATTTGAGGCAAAAATTGGTGATTATCTCTCTCAACTGAATGCCCTATTTAAAGCATACATAGGTAGTTCTTATTTTCATATGTTCTAGTTCATTTCCTTACAGTATACCAAGCCATAGTACTGATCCTATCCAAGATGGTTTTATTTTATTATAATATTGTCGTATTATTTTTCGGGTGATAGCAATACTACAATCTAATCAGAATTGTTTCCTACCCTAGGTCTTCTGCTCGATTGGCTGCACTTATGTGACAGTTCAATTTGCTGCAGATACGACTTTTCGCTGCTCTCTATTACAGTGCTCTATGCCAGACCTGTTCTCCAGGAGGTAGTATCTTATTTGGCATAACTGCCGTTTGACTGACTATTATGCTAGACGAAGGGTAGCCAGTTAATTTTTATTTTGAAATTCTCGGTTGCCCGGTTTAAATCTAAAAAACTCCCGGGTTTTAATATTTAGCAAAAAACAAAGTGTTGAAATGATTGTAATCTTCCCTTATTTTCTAGATACTTAGTATCAGTTCGAATAACTTTTTTATTCACGAGTATTTTTATGATTTTAACGCACCACAATTTACAAAGAAATAGAGTCAGTTAGCCAAACGCTATCGGGCTGAATAGGTAATTATACTGCATTTTGGAGTGAATCGCAAATTCGTTCTACGAGTTTCAATTCCATCCTAACGCATTGAAACTCCACTGGTATTTTTTTCGTTCTACGAATGAAGACAGAAAAAAATTGATTTGCTAGGAGCGCTTCTTTTGTTGAACAATGAGTTTAAATATTCATACAACGTACTCGTATACTGCCCATAACCGCATATCAGTCCCATATGGATAGGAAATCAAGCAAAGATGGGACTGATATGCGATTATGGGTAGTATAGGCTTTGTGTTGTAGCTTATGAGCTAACGCATCGAAACAAACGTATTATTGATTTGTGTACGGTGAAATCATGGATATTATTGGTGATTTCTGCTCAATAGAACGGAAATGGGCGATTACGACGAAGTAGCGCTCTACCCTATGGGATTGAAAAAAATATTTGAAATTTTTACAAAAATTTACAAGAATTCAGATTTTTTTAAAAATTAATCATTATTCATAACCCATTTCGAACAGTAATTCGATCTATTCTAGTATAAATGGATCATTACTAAGGTAGCAGAGTTTTTCTTGGATCTTGAATTTGTTTCAGCGAATGAAGTCTTCAAAATTTGGGAATGTTTTTTTCTTCTTCTTTATAATCATTTCCTTTCACAAATTTTTTTTTCCAAGATTTCCTCTAAAATATGTTTGTGATTTTCTCTGAAAATTTCTTTATAATCAGAAATCAGAACATCTGAAAATCAGAAATCCGTTCAAAATGAAAGCGAAAATGTTATTTGGGTTTGGTACTTGTAGCTGCTGAAAATGAAGAAACGATTATTTATCGGGATCAATAAATATGATCCATAATTAAAAATTTATTCCGCTTATTTAAAAAAATCTATACATTTAAAAAAAACTGTAAACTGTATATTCAGATATGTGTATCAAAATGTTGAGATAAATCTGTATGTTTACAGATAAATCTGTATATGTGGCATCACTGTTTACTGGTCACCATGCAAACTGCGTGATAGCCACAGGTTTATAAACAGATTTTGCGTTATTTCTGCCACATAGTTTAATAAAGGAGGTTCTCATCTAGCATCCCGATTGGCCACGAATCGAGGAATGTGTTTGCAGTTGAATTATTAACGAAAGAGAAAGTCGATGAAGAGAATCGATCCCCTTTCCTTCTAACCCCCTCAATTAAGAACAATTGATTGGAATTTGTTGCGATCTTTAACTTAATGAATGAGTTTTTATCAATTTGTGCACTTGAGGATCTCAAAGTTGCGTTTAATTAAATCGCACCCTATAATTACTGTCTATGGAGTTCTTATTGATTTCGACTTCATCTCAATTCTAGGAAAAGGAACAAAGCCCCGAATCTATTCGAGTCGATGGCCATGGGCATGATGGCTGGTGCCGTTGGTTCATTTGTCGGCAATCCATGCGAGCTTATTCTAATCCGAATGACCGCCGACGGTCGGTTACCGGTGGCGGAACGTCGCAACTATACCCACTTCTTCAACGCTTTCGCGCGCATCGCAAAAGAGGAAGGTAAGAAAAGCGAAAGCGAAGCTTATCTTGATTCAATTAGGAAGTTGTTGTATTAAACACTTATTTCTTTAGGTATATTTGCCTTATGGCGTGGATGCATCCCTACCATGGGTCGTGCCATGGTCGTAAATGCTGCCCAGTTGGCTTCCTACTCGCAAGCGAAGACCTACCTCATCAACAGTGGATACTTCAACGAAGGCATTGGCCTACATTTCACGGCCAGTATGTTCTCTGGCTTGATTACGACGGCTGCTTCCCTGCCAGTAGATATAGCCAAAACGAGGTAACTTGAATAACCTGATCCGAGAGTCAAGCGAAAGGTATAAACCATCTTAACATTTTCTAGAATCCAAAACATGAAAGTAGCGGCTGGTGAGGTGCCACCGTACAAGAACACAATCGACGTGATAGTGAAGGTCGTCCGACATGAAGGAGTCTTTGCCCTGTGGAAGGGCTTCACCGCTTATTACGCCAGGCTGGGTCCGCATACTGTCCTAACGTTCATCCTTCTGGAGCAGCTGAATGGTCTTTACAATGAGCACTTCATGGGCGGCCAAGGATCGAAATCGGGACTGTGAGGAGCGGGGGCAAAAGATGTCATATCATCCCGTCCAGCATCCAAAACAGAAATAACACACACACAAAACAAGTCAAGTGTACTACACACGATGGGGAACGAAACACACAAAACAGTTGCAACTGTCTAACTAGCATTTCATAAACAATCAACGTGTACTTTACTTTGCATTCATTACTTTTGCGTTTACGCTCGGAGCGCCTATATTTGTGTTCTTATTATCTGTGTAGTGAAAATTATCCTTTAAATTGTTATTCCGTTATTAAATTTTATGTTTTAACTCAACTGAAAACTTTTTGTTTGCTTGTTTTTCCCTGCGATTCCAGATACGTTAACGAAAATACTACCGAAAGCAAAATCCCCTAACATACCCTATCGAAAGTGACACCCGAATAGTGCCTGGCTTATTGCCAAATTCCAACCAGATGGGGACGCCTCCATCGAATATGTCTAGTCTAGTGTGATGATAGTGAGTAGCCAAAACAGAAGTGTAGTAGGTACTACCGAAAAGGAAAACAAATCTCCCCGCCCAGATGATGATGTGAGCTGATACACTACAGCTGAGAACGGCTACTGAACTGAGACGGACAACGCTAATTATAAAATTCGTGAAATAACGGTAACGGGGTGGGAAGAGAAAGGAGAAAGGCACCGCTCCCTCAGCCAAACGAAAAACGATTCATTGCAAACTTGCACTTGGTGTCATCAGGTAGAATTTGTGCAATGCGGCAATGAAAATCCCACGCAATACAGTAAAGTGGTAGATGAGGAGAGTAGAAAACAACTTACGTGTTTTAGCTAGATGTAATTTCCCTGGTGTTAGTTGGCAAGTGAATATTTCTTTTCAATAACATCTGTTCAATCATATCTTGTTTTAAGTTTTCAATATATTCGAATGCATTATGTTGGTGTGTTTTGTCGATTTTATTTATTTATCATAGAATAGTTGTTATTAATATGTAAATGATAATAGGGGGCGATACGAGGCAAGATCGCCACTGGGAATAAGATAGTAGCACCAAAATTTACATCGAAAACCTTACATTTTTAGAAACTGCACATCCGTACCTTTCAATGGTCCTAAGATGCAACGTTCCAAATATGGTTTAGAAACATAATCCCCCCTATTCTGCGAGTCACGTGACTCTCTCTCACCGGTGAGGTGACAATAGTCACCTCGTGTGAGGTGACTCTCCATTTGATTTACATGGAGAGTCACCTCACACGAGGTGACAATTGTCACCTCACCGGTGACAAAGAGTCACGTGACTCGCAGAATAAGGGGGAATATTCAATAACTATGTATCAAGAAACTGATGAAAATATGCCTACCGAAAAAAATCCACACTTTGCAACTTTCAATTATTTATTCAACCTGGTGATTATATTTTGTTTTGATAAACCAGACAATATAAATACTTTAAAAACTCACAAATCTGTATAAAAATGAATTTCTGTCTGTCTGAAACTACTGAACCGATAGGCGTGAAAATTTGTATGCAGGAGTTTTTGGACCGGGAAAGGTTCTTATGATGGTTCGAGACCCCTCTCCCCTCTTTGAGGGGGAGGTGGGGGCTCCCATACAAAGGAAATGCTGCTACTATGGGCACACGTCTGTTTCTATGTATTAATTGCAGTTATTACATAAAACACTGATATAACCATAAGATGGCCGTCTTGCCCCGTCTGCCCCTAATAAAGATGTTAGCTGTGAGCTTTAAAAAAGTGAATTGCAAGACTGGTAGGGGTTTAGATATTAGTGACTACGTTTCCTAACCTGAGAGTACTATACAGTTATCGAAAAGTGAATATATTTGTAAGGTTTAGAATTCCTAATGTATTGAAATTCTTATGAAAGGAGTTTAAAAAAATCAGGCCCCAAAATTCTGTAAATTTTCTCACTTTGAACCGGGGAAATTTAATCGTTTTGTTTGTTCAATTTGACGACTTGACTCGACTTCCTTGTGTAGAAATACAAAATCCAAATTTCCAGTCCAACCCAGACTATCGCAATTGCCGAGGTTGTGCCGCTTTATTCTGAATATCACACTTAACCGAACACCGTTGTCACGGGGCACTCTGTTTTAGTCATAAACTGGGCTTACTGGTACTCAGTCAGTTCCTAAAGCCACAAGGAGGAGCTATTAGTCTTCTCGACAACTACAGCGCAGCAACGCTTTCTCAAATTCGTGAGCACTCAGGACAGGACTCCATTAATTTCCTCGGCTCCTTGTGCACTAAGCTAGTTCCGCATCACCCTCCTCTAATTGTCACTGTTGAGGACAAACTCGTGTGTGATTTCGACGATTATCCTGCTACGATATCTTATAACTTCCGTAAAGCTGACCACCGACGCATCAAAGGTATATTGTCTAGCATGGTATAGGAGAACATCCTTGAACCTGATGACATTTAGACTGCAGCGCAAACCTCTTCACAGGTCTTGGCATATGCCATTAACAGACACGTCCCGAAAAGAACTCACCACAAAGTTTTTCACCCTCCATGGCAGACGAGAGAGCTACGTAGGTTGAAGTCAATCAAGAGAGCAGCATTGAAGTATCGCACGCTTCCTCTAAAACTTCATTATGTGAGGCTAAATCACATGTACCAGCGAGTCAGTCGTGAATGCTTTTCATGTTTCTTACGATCCATCCCGCGCAAACTAAAGCTACGCCTGGAATCCTTTTGCAACTACGTGAACAAGCAACGCAGGGAGTCCGGATTCCCATCGTCTATGGAATTTAATGAAGAAGTTGCTGCCACTCCCAGCTTTTACGGCTAGTTTGCCAGTGTATTCACTAATGGGGTTGTTCATCAACTACAGTATACAAAAAAAAGTTTATCCACCCCCCTACCAATTTACATTTTTTTTTTTGTTTTTCTGGTGAAAATCAGTTTAATTTTATGAGTGTTCTTCCATGATTTATCAATTTATGTTTATTTATCACATTGCCGTTGAAAATACGGCGTTTATATCTTTTCTGGAGATTTCATGTGATAAATTATGAAAAATTGTAAAAAATTACGCAAAAAAAGTTTATCCACCCCCAAACGGATACTATGATTTAAGTGTGTTTAACAGAGTTTTAGTGTGTATTCTGCAACTTTATCGAATGTAAACATTGCGTCAATCTGTCATTTAGTGCTCTTGAAGTTTTCATGCTTAAAATTTCAGTTTTGTTTTCAAAATTGGAAGTTTTTTGTTTCATAATGCCCAAAAAAGACCAAATTTCGATCAGTATCCGAAATTTGAGTATTGAACATCACAAAACTGGTGAAAGCTACCGTGATATTGCCGATATTGTCCAGCTTCACAAAGATACGGTCGCTAGAATTGTACAGGTGTACAAAAAGCGTGGTTCTATCTCACCAGCTAAGCGATTGGGGCGTCCTTCAAAGACAACTGACCGAATTGACAGAGCTATCGTGAAGAAGGCAGAGCTGGACCGGGGACTATCAGCTCCGAAAATTGCGAAACAGATTGAAAACGAGTTTTCCATTCAGCTGACATCTTAATCCGTACGAAATCGTCTTCATAAGAAAAGTCTTAAGGGCAGAGTAGCTCTTAAGAAGCCATGGTTGTCCGCAATATATATAAAAAAAAAGATCGAAGTGGGCCCAGGACCACATTTCATGGACCAAAATTTTATGATATCTGATGGTATGGTCTGATGGTATCAATGGTGACCCAAATAGCATTACTTTCGTCTCGTCTGACCAGATCATCTTATTCCAGTCATCACTGGTCCATGAAATGTGGTCCTAGGCCCACTTAAATCTTTTTTTAATTTTTTTTTTTGCGGACAACCATGGCTTCTTAAGAGTTACTTTGCCCTTAAGACTTTTCTTATGAAGACGATTTCGTACGGATTGTGATGTCAGTTGAATGGAAAACTCGTTTTCAATCTGTTTCGCAATTTTCGGAGCTGATAGTCCCCGGTCTAGCTCTGCCTTCTTCACGATAGCTCTGTCAATTCGGTCAGTTGTCTTTGAAGGACGCCCCGATCGCTTAGCTGGTGAGATAGAACCACGCTTTTTGTACATCTGTACAATTCTAGCGACCGTTCCTTTGTGAAGCTGGACAATATCGGCAATATCACGGTAGCTTTCACCAGTTTTGTGATGTTCAATACTCAAATTTCGGATACTGATCGAAATTTGATCTTTTTTGGGCATTATGAAACAAAAAACTTCCAATTTTGAACACAAAACTGAAATTTTAAGCATGAAAACTTCAAGAGCACTAAATGATAGATTTACGCAATGTTTACATTCGATAAAGTTGCAGAATATACACTAAAACTCTTGAAAAACACTTGATTTTTTAAATGCAGAATCACATTTACTTTAAGTGTATTTCACCTTGGTTCGATGTGTTATACACGTTAATTTAGAGTGTTTCAAACTTTGAAATGTTGAAAAATTTTCACTTTCTATTCAAGTGTATTGCACATTGAATCACGCTACTGTTCAAAACAGATGGATTTAAAGTGTTTTGCATTTCAATACGATGTGAATTGCTTTCTCAGAAAGGTAAACATCGAAAACAAGAGTTGTGACTTTATCCTATTAACCCGCCTCATATATGAGAACAACCGTGGCACAGTGAGATCGAACGAAGACTCCGGCAGCAGCACACCCCAACAGTCCATGATCGAATCCCAAATCAGACCCATTAAAAAGATATGTGAAAGCTCTGGCAGTTTTGATTATATATTTGTCGTTTCAATTTTTAGAGTCGGTAAAGTAGAAGTCGATAAAGTAGAATATTGAACTATGGTGTGCAAAGCTATTGATATCACCATATGAGACACATAGAATCCAAGTGTGTCACAATTCAAATCCATAGTGTTCAGGCATGGTTCATAGCATAAGATTCACACATGAAATGGATGTGTTTCACAATAAGCGCTAAATTAAGTGTGAGACACATGATGATGGCGTGTGGAATTTTTTGAGTGTAGACAGTTTTTTGGGATTATTGACCGGGGGGTGAAGAAGGCAGGAGGGGGGGGGGGGGCTCCTCATGCGTAGACAATTTTT